GTCACAAGGGTTAAGTAGTAACTTCATAACCCCTTTAGGTTGGTTTTGCATTTGACTCAATAAGGGGTACACATTTAGGGTTGAAATCAAATTTTAGGTTGGTTTTGGCAAATCCCCCTTATTTATATTTGAAAAACTTAAAATATTGTTTTTAAAAATAATTTAAAATTTAACTTAATTTTTTATGAAATTATTTTTTAAAAATATAATAATTTTTAAAAAATATAATTTTCTAATATTATTAGACAAATAAATAAATTAGATTAAATTAGTTTTCAAACTTAATATATTTTAAATGCAAAAATTTTACCAAGTGCTTCTTAAAAAAAACATTAGGGAACTTGCTAATACTCTACCAATCAAACTCAGTGACGCTCCATTTATTTTCCATCTCTCGGACACTGAAAAGTGAAAATATATATGAAATCGAGTCCATTAAATTCTAAGATTTGATTTACAGTTCTAATTACAATTGTTTCTGATACTATGTATAGATAATTATATAAAAATTCCAAAATTTTAAAATTTCAAATACATATAAGAAAAATCATACGTAAGTTTTAAATTTGTCAATACTAAAATTTTATATTTTAATTACATATATTCACCATGCACAAGGCGCAGGTCTTATCCTAGTTCTAATTATTTTTAAAATTTCTTGCAAAAATAAACACATTAGCTCTAATGGACGTATATTAAATAATTAACTGTATTGATATTATTTTCTCAAATTAAGACGAAAAAATTACATACAATACATTTATATAGTTATTGCTAATATCAATAAATTAAAATAGTTATTAATTTTAAAAAGTTATATTAGATATCAAAATTTTTTAACTAAATGATTTTACAAATTAATCACAAAACTAAAGAATATTCAGACCATTTTACATGTTTATAAATATTTAATTGTTAAATATACAATCTTGCTCAAATAATAATTTCAGGTACAATTATTATTTAACGTATTTAGAAAAATAAAACGGTTGTCTGTGACATTGTAATATAAAAATATTTTCATACCTGCATAATTAAAACTTAATCTTGATCATGTGACATTTTTATATCATCAAAACAAAAACCTTTGTAATCCATTCATAGATAAAACAACAAAAATAGTATCCGCGCTTAAAAAAACGTGGGTTAAAAATCTAGTTTAATTTAAAAGTACATACGGAAAAACATAAACAAAATAAAACTATCCAACAACTCTAAAAAATAGAAAACATTATTTAAATTTTAAAATAAAACAAAATTAATTAAGTTTCAGAAACAAACCTATTAATTGAATTATCAAAACCTAAAATTTTTAATATTTGTTCAAACACCAAAAATATATATTAAATTATGTATTTGACTTAGTTATTAATGAGATTATTTGCTAGTATATCCTAAATGGACATTTAATTAGAGTTTTACCCATGATGTGACATTTACAAAATAATGACTAAAACGCCATTGGTTTCTCTTTCCTATTTCATCCATAGACAATGTCAGCATAATTCGCTCTCCTCTCCTTTTGTTTTTATCAATGTTATTCTCTCTTCTTATCATTTTTCTAAATGAATTACATGCAAAATAAATAAGTTAAATATTTTTTATTTTGAGTTCACTTTGATTCTTAAATAATAATTTTAAGTTTTAAATTTACTCAATATGATTGGGAAATAAAAAATTCAGTGATACTTATTTGTTAATATCTAATACATAACACCTCTATTAAGATATATAATTTTTATAAATATCTAACACTTCTGTTAACACATCTGATACATATATTTGTTAACAACTAAAACCTTTGTTAACATATGGAACATGTATTTGTTAACAACTAAAACCTCTGTTAACATCTACATTATTTGTTAATCGTTAACAATTTTTTTACCAATCAACACTGGTGATTATTAACAAAGACATTAACTGTTAATAAATTTTGTGAATGTTAACAGATGTCTTAGCTGTTAACAAATACATGTAATATCAAATTTATAACAAATTGTAGATTTTAGAGATATTGAGATCTTACAATCAATTGTAATTTATGTTTTCAACTAGGTGTTTTGCCCGCATTTGCGGACATAATTATTTTATGAATATTTATTAGTTGATGTTTCATTAATTTATTATTTATGTTTTCAAAAAGTACAAATCAAACATCAAATAAATGACAAAACGCAAACATCAGAAACATTTAAAGAATATATTTCTATAATTATTTTGCTTGATTTATATTTAATTATAATATTTATACAAATATTTATACTTAATTTATATTTAATTCTAATTTTTATATCTTAATTTAAAATTTTATAATATAAAAACATATTTTTAAGATGACAATATAATGCATAAGTTATTTATTTTCTAAAAATATAATATGATAAATTCGTTTTAATTATATAATAAATATATAAGATTATAGAAATGGTGACATATAAGGAAAATTACTTAAAATCATAGAGAACTTAACAAATTAGCAAATTCACTTATTAAATATTTTTTCTTGAAATTTGATTTATATTTAATTAATAATAGATAATTTTTCTATTTTACTTTTAAATTATATAATATAAAAATATATTTTCAAGATAACAACATAATACATAACAATTACCTTATTTTCTAAAAGTATAATATTATTAGTGTAAATTTATTTTAATTATAGAATAACTACAAATTTTTATATTTTAATTTTAAATTTCTAATAGAAAAATGTATTTTCAAGAAAACAACTTAATACGTAAGAAATATTTTATTTTTTAAAGAATTTGATACTATTAATACAATTTTTAAAACAATATATAATAAACTATCAAAATTATCTAAAATTATTAAAAATATGACAAATCAGGAAACATCAAATTCACTTCTTAAATAATAGTATAGATTTTTTACATGTTAATTTAAATTTTATAATAGAAAAATATATTTTCAAGATAACGGCATAACACATGAGAATTAACTTATTTCTAAAATATCCTATTATTAATATAAATTAGTTTTAATTATATAATCAATAATAACAAAAATTAGAGAAATTCTAACAAATGATTAAAATTACCTAGGATGAGGGAGACAAATCAGCAAATTTACTTTTTAATTAATATTTTTGGTGATTTATATTTAATTATTAATAATATAATTTTTATATCTTAATTTTAAGTTTTATGATACGAAAATATATTTTCAACATAACAACATAATACACAAGAATTATCTTATTTTAAAAAATATAAAATTAATAATATAAATTCGTTTTTGTTATATATTAAATATTATAATTTTATATCTATATTATTATTTGCGAAGTGATTTTTCGCAACGGAGCTCCCACGTTAAAAGTTAACATGGTTAATATCGTTTATACCCTTAAGAAAAAAAATATAAATTATACACAAAATAAAAAAAACGAATTTTAATTCTATTAATTAGATTAGTGATTAAATTAGTAATGATAACAAGAATTATCCAAAAAAAACGTATTTTAAAATAAAAAGGTAATTCATCTATTTATTGTGTTGTTATCTTAAACTATCTTTTAATATAAAAATTAAAAAATACAAAGAATTAAAAATTATTTGATTAGATGAGTTATTAAAATTATTAATAATAAAAATAATCCAATATATAAAAAACTATTTTAAATACAAAAGATAATTACTATTTACATTGTGTTGTTATCTAAATAATATCTTTTAAAGTCAATTTAAATAATCAAAAAATAAACACATAAAAATTATTAATCAAGTAAAATTCTTAATTTTATATAATTAGAATTTTTAAAAATAATGAGTGATTTCTAAGATTTATTTATTTATTAATAACAAATATAATGTACCAAACAAAATCTCAAAATATTTATAATAGGTAATAATTACTTAATAAAAACATAAAAAATAAGTTATCATTATAGTTTTTAATTAGTAATATATGTATTAATCAAATAGTTATAAAATATTTACGCCCGCATGAGCGGGTAAAACACCTAGTATAAAATATATTTCAAGATAACAACATAATTCACAAGTATTATCTTGTTTTCTAAAAATATTATATATTCATATAAATTCATTTTATTTATAAATAAAAATATATATAACAATATAACAATATAATTCACAAGCATTATCTTGTTTTCTCAAAATATGATATATTCATATAAATTCGTTTTATTTATAAATAAATTGTATATAAATATTAAAAATATGATAAATAAATAAAATTACCTAAACTTATGGAGAATATGACAACTAAACAAATTTACTTCTCAAATAATAGTATAGATCATATCAAATATTAAATTAGTTTATCTATTAAAATATTTTGATATTATATTTTCAAAAATATTATTATTGGATAATATTGTTAGCATTTAAAAAAATCTAGCAAACATGTGGACAAAAGTGATGTAGGTACAGGTAATATGACTCTCATTTCTCTGTAACTAGCAGAAAAGTGTGTCAGCTACCAAAGGACATTTTCGTCTAAAAATAAAAAAATGTATGTTTTCATACTCAAATATCTCTCAATGGGTAAGTCACTAATTAGACCCTCCATTCGGTTTGATTTGGATAAAACAATACTTATTTGATATTTATGTTTGGTTTTAGTTTTTCAGATTCTGTTGGAGTCTTCGGATTCAGTTTATTAATTCATCACTAGTAATATGTAATATGGAGTAAAAAAAAAGTTACGAATAAGTTTCCAATATATAATCTTCATTTCAAGAGAGTCCACGATTAAAGGAGACTTTGCTTACACTAGTTTCTATGATTCCCATTCACAAAGATATAAGGAAAAGTTGCAGGCTCCATGCCCATTAATCTTAGTTTTCAGTAAAGCATAAAAATGGATTTGTTCTTTTCCCTTCGTATGCAAATCACTCGCAACAAACCCACATCAAGAAGACAGAGGCTAAACGTCGTGGTTTGACCTTTATGCCCTATAATATAAGGCGTCCTTAAAAACCCCTAAAAAGTATCCAATCATTTGTTTGGGTGAGCAATCTGGATCTAAACCCACCACCCCACCACTCTCTCCCTCCACTTGTAAACCAAAAGAGACCCAAATTTTCATCCATCCTCTCCCGAAGAAGATGATAGCTGTGATCGGATTGCTTCTGGGTTTTCTGATTTCAGCATTGTTCTTAATACAAGGAAAGCGAAGATCTAACGGTGGTGAGGAGAAGAAGCAATCTAGTAACGAGTCTGAAAAGTCAAAGCCAAAAAGTTACAGCAAGAGTGAAGTCGCAGTACACAACAAGAGAGAAGATTGTTGGATCATAATCAAAGATAAAGTCTATGATGTTACTTCTTATGTTGAAGAGCATCCTGGTGGTGACGCCATTCTAGATCACGCTGGTGATGATTCTACTGATGGGTTTTTCGGACCACAACACGCCACTCGTGTTTTCGACATGATCGAGGATTTCTACATCGGACAACTTCGTGAGTAAGATTAAAGATTTACGATTGTGGAACCTTTTTGTGTTGTGTTTCTTTGTCTATTTGTCCTTACGAGTTCCATTGTAATGCCAAGTTTCCTCCCTTTCTGTTATTTTCGTATCAAATCTTGAATTTCAACTTTAGAGTTTAGCTGAGTGAGCTTGATCTATGATGCCCTGTTTCAAGTGTTCTATATACATCAATTTTGGTACGTTCGTTTAGAGTAAAAGAGAATCTTTCAGAAAGCTTTTATGTGATGAGTCTATTGAGTTTGGAAATTGGAATGCATTGAGTTTTTTTTTCTGGGAATTAACAAGATCCTAAGAACATAACTATTTTAGTTCTAGAGAGAACAAGTTCTGATATATCCTTAAAATCCAAAACACAAGCATTGATATCCATTAGCTGAACAAACTACCAACGCTCATGTGAAGAAGATCGGCCACCAGCTCGGCTAGGACGGTCATAGGGGCCTCGTCTGCTTCTGTAGGCTCTTCCCTCATCACGTAATGGTCCCATGTCTCCATACCTATCACTTGCTCCTCTTGCGTATCTCTCCCTGTCATAGCCTCTCTCTCCCCTTCGATAATCATCCTCAAGAAGATGATGGTGTTCAGGCATCCTATACCTATCACTCACCAAACGGTGTCCACGTGGACCATACCTACATGGAACACGCATCAAAATCAGAACTTTCCTACACCAATAAACCTGTTGAAAACAATTAGACAAGAAAAAAAGGAGAGCTACAAACCTCTCCATTGCATAGAGATCACGAGCTTCATACTTGTGTCCATCCTCGTAGCGGTCTCTGTCGTTATACCGTCCACCATCACGACGACCATCCATGTAACGGTCCCGTTCCACCTCATAGCGATCTCGGTGTCCATCGTATGATCCAATTCTAGAGCGCACTGGAGGAGGATCTCTGTACCGTCCTCGATCACCACCACTTGATGGGCATTCTCGAGCCGAATGACCATGGCGTCCACACTTAAAGCACTCATCTTCACCAGCACCTCTTCCACTCTTACGAAGATGGTCAACATCCTCTCCCCCAGCCTTAGGCTCAGCCTTGTTCACTGAGATGACCCTATCACCTAACTCCCTCCCGTGCATGTGTTTAATTGCATCATCAGCTCCACGGCGATCTGTGAATGTAATAAACCCAAAACCACGTGGGCGGCCAGTATCTTTCCCCACCATGATCTACAATGACACAAAAAAAAGGACCAGTAGTGTTATGAAATAGCAAAAGTAGAACCAAAAAATGTACATCTAGAAGTGGCAAAGAGAAGACAATCAGTAAGACTCAGAATATTTCGTAAACAATACTAACATGAACAATACATTTCTGATGCATACTAAGTTTCATAAAACCATGGAAATAAATTCTTTCACTGGAAGTCACTAGAATCAAACAGCAGAATGTCAAATTACATCTGCATACTTGTAGAGATTCAAATCCACAGGGAGTGTTACATCAGCGATCCTAGCAAAAAGATGTGGGAGATTAGCCTCTTGCAAGACCATACTCTAAACCTTTGCATCTGGGCATGTTATCTTTCTCATTATCTTAATGTGACTACAACAAAAACCACAGCAATCAGGTTTTTCAATCTAATACGACCACAAGAAAAGGCTAATAAGCTGATCAAGACCATTACTGACCAGCAAGTTATCATCTTTGAGATGTTTCCATATGCCAACAATTGTATTTGTTACAGAACAAAAGCAGCAGACAGAACAAAATTCTTGAGAGGCAGAAAATAGAACCTTATACCCAAAAATAGGAAAAAGTCACAGACTTGAAAGTTGAGACTTAACATCCGAACCCACAACACACAAACTGACATATAATGTTACTGGAAGGAAACACATAGAATTACTTAGGTATCTAACTATCTATCTATCTATCTCTGGTGTCAAACAAAAAGCACAGAAATGATGCTGCTGAGAAAAATAGCAATAGTCAAGATGAAGATAAGACTCCACAGAACGTGATCTGCATCAGAACCATTGCAAGTCCTGATCATAGTTCTCTCAAATATATGATCAAATCAAGTGTGAGAGCATAAATGCGTGTCTTCTCTTACTAAGAAATCTCAAACATGACAGACGATCCACAAATCTGAACATCAAACCAATTCTTACAAAGTTTTGAGTCATTAATCATTCAATGTATGACAGCAGAAGGAAGATTTTATTATAGTATAGACCTGACACTCGATGATTTTTCCGTAGCGGTGAAAAGTATCTTGAAGCTGCCTCTCTGTGACATCCCAAGACAATCCTCCCACGAAGATTCTGTTGTCAAGATTCCCATCGCCTTCTCTATCTTTCATCTTTAGCAACTCTCACTGAAGAAGCAAAAGAGACAAAAACATAGTTACATGGAACTCAAAACACCTTAAAGAAGTCGTCTTATTTTTCAGAAGTATCACTCCCAACAAAACAACCCTACCTAACTCTAACTTATACAAGTCGACAACTTTTCTGTCACAAGTAATTTTCTGAAACCCGAAATAAAAGAAGGAAAGGGTAGAGATTTTGGCATTGATAAACCCTAGTACTCACCGCTGATTCAAAAGGTTACAACTTTCTGCGTTAGTAGTGATGGGTTCAGTGAAGAAGAAGAAGAAGCTTTGGGGCTTTTTAACACATACAAGAGAAATAATGAGCCGAATTACTAAAACACCCTTACAAAGCCTTTTTAATTACAGGAATGACCTATAAAACCCTAAAACCCTATGCCGCCTCTTTAACAAATCATCCTCCTTTCAGTCTCCAAGCTCTCCTGCACGGTTCAAAGTTTGGTCCTTTTTGATAGTTTCTCTCTCGAAGAATATCGATTTTTTAGTTTAGGGTCTTTGCAGAAGAGAGAAAGATGATAAAGAGAAGATTTTACAAGCTAGAGCATGGTGATAAAGACAGTGGATCCGACTCCTCTTGCTTCTCTTCTGATTCCGATCCTGAGTCTGAAGAAGAATCAGAGCATTCCGAATCCGAAGACTCAGTTGCACAAGGTTCAGATGATTCCGTCTCCGAGGGTGAAGAAGGAGAAGAAGAAGAAGAAGGTTTGCTTTGCTTCCTCAATCGAACCATTAATGAGAATGTTTTGAATTTAAATTTTCTGTTATAGCTGCTGGTGACGACGATGCTGATGTTGAAGAAGATGATGATGATGATGACTTTGATGGAGATGCCTATAGAGGGAGACATGAGAAGACATCTATGCAGTACGGCTTAGAAGAACCACCGGAAGAGGAGGAAGAGAACTATATTTTAGGTTGTATGATTAAATGCAAATCTGTTTACAAATGCAGATATTGCCCAAACACTATTTGTTTGAATGAGAGAACTATGCAAGAACATGTCTCATCCAAGGTAAAACTAGTTAGCTTTTATCATTTCAGTTGGTTTGAAGGATTAGGTGATAAGCATGAGGTTCTGCTTTCAGTCTTGTATTTATTCAAAAGGAGGAGTTTTATTTTGATTTGACTTATTGCAGAAACATGCTCGTTCTGAGAAACTTATGAAAGAAGAGAAGCTCGGAACCGATGATGATGATGATGATGATGATGATGATGATGAAGATGTTGATGATTCAAAGAAGCCATCTCAGGTTTTTCTGACATTAGAGAATATATGCCAACAAGTTCTTCTGATGAGTCCTAAACAGATATTTTCCTTATATGTAGGAGAAGCAGATTAAAGGGAACAGGAGATCACAAAGAAAGGGCAAGAGATCTCAAAAACAAGGAAAGCTCAGAAGTGATGATGCCAAAGTTGATGATCCTAAAACGCCATCTCAGGTTTGGCTTTCTGACATTTGAGATCATGCCAACAACTGCTTTGAGTTCTTCCGATGAGTCCTAACCAAAACTCTTGTATGTAGGAGAAGCAGGTGAAGGGAAACAGAAAATCACGAAGACAGGGTATGGTGTCACAAAAACAGGAAAAGGTAAGAGTAAGGATGTTCATTACTGTAACTTTGTTGACCGTGCTTAGTCTATCAAAGGCCTAACCGGTTCATTTTTATTTATGAACATCCAGGGTTCGTCGATCAAGGATGGAGAAAAGGCAGATGCGACGCCAAAATCTAGAAAGAAAATGCGTCAAACTAAGGATTGAGACTAGTGTGTGTATCTCCAGCAATATGAAAGATTCATCTTTTCTTGAGGGACAGGTGAAGGAAACATAGGAGTAGAAGTGGGTTGGCTGTGACTCAGTTTATGCGCTTTTTTACTTGCAAGTTTTTGTCTACAAAATATGTTGCTTGTAACTGATATATGGTTTTTTGATTAATTGTGAGTTATATACAATTCTTGTGTGTTTCGGTTTTATGCAATTTGGATCTTTCGAGACTTGGTGTTACTCTGTACTTTTGAACCTCTCTTCCTCTTACAGGGTTAGGTCGTCTACACTTTTTCCAAGCAATCATGCAGGATCACATTCTGCTTCATCTCGTGGTTTCATGAGCTTTTGATTGAAACCTTCCAGGCCAGAACCAGTAAGTGCTGCTTTTAATGATTTTGCAGAGACACTGCCCTGTTTTTCGCATAACAACTGTTGCATCGAACCTAACCCCATCTCTAAAGTGTAGAATAATGGAGGAAACTAGTGACATGTACAATCTATAGCCAAATAATATGAAAGTCCAAACAAACATTTAACAGAGTGGAGTTTGTAGCCTAGTAGTTTATGCTAATGCTGCCACCATGTTGTAAAGCGGGTTCAGATCCGGAAAGTATACATGTAAATTGTAAAAATGAGAAATAAAAAACGTGTATATATAACAACAACAAAAGAGGTTAGGAAACATAACTCAATAATTGCATGAAGCAAGAAGCCAAAAATCAGATTACTTAAATTCAAGACACAACACAAGTCTATGTGTTACTTTAATATTGCCATTGTACTACTCTCTTTGCATCTCATCGTCTTTTACTCCAAGCTTTCTGTCATTTTCTCTTTCCCTAGTCACCAGTCAGCATTTGTCTCCAACCTGCTCGAATCTGTAGAAACTTTAAAACACTGGATACTGATAAAAAGACAACAAACTTGTATGTTTTCTTCCATTTATTTATTCTTTGGTCTCCACTATAAACCATTATTTAATGATGTCCTTGTGTAAGTGCATACAGATGTCATATATGAAAATATAATAATAATGACATTCACGAATGCATTGAAAAAAAAAGGCAGAGTGCAGAGAGAAGTGAGATTTGAATAACTTCTCTACTGCTAAAAACAGCTAGACGAAGCATTGGCTTCACGTGACATCTTACATGTTTATGTCCGTGACCAATCACTCGGATAATACATGCCGTTACTATTCCTGAGTTGCAAACTTTCTTCTTCTTTTTGGGTTTGATTCGATCATGGTCTCTTCTTCTTCTTCTTGTCGCTTCTATATGTTCTTCTTAGTGATGATTACTTTCCACTTGGTATCTCTTGTGAGATCAAGCGACGTTGAGGCTCTACTGACTTTGAAATCACCCATTGATCCATCAAACTCCATTCCATGGAGAGGAACAGATCTCTGCAACTGGGAAGGTGTTAAAGAATGCATTAACGGAACAAGAGTCTCAAAGCTTGTTCTTGAGAATCTGAACCTCACTGGCTCACTTGACGAGAAGAGCTTGAACCAATTAGACCAACTTAGAGTTGTAAGTTTCAAAGGCAACCATCTCTCTGCCTCAGTTCCTAACCTCTCCGGTTTGGTCAACCTTAAATCACTTTTTCTCAACGATAACAACTTCTCTGGGGAGTTCCCTGAATCACTGACGTCTCTCCACCGACTCAAAACCATTGTCCTTGCTGGAAACCAGTTTTCCGGTCACATCCCTAGCTCGTTGCTCCATCTTTCACACCTTTATACACTTCACCTTCAGGACAATCTCTTCTCCGGCTCTATTCCTCCTCTCAACCAAGCAACTCTGAGATTCTTTAATGTCTCTAATAATCAGCTCTCTGGCCATATTCCACTGACACAAGCACTGAATCAGCTCAATGAGTCTTCCTTTACAGGCAACATTGCTCTATGCGGCGATCTGCTTCAAGAATCTTGCATAAGAAGGAATGGTACAGGTGGAGTCTCTTCAAAACCGTCAGCAATTCCAGCCATGCCTATAGCCAAAAGAAAGACCAAAACAAAGCTCATTGTAATCATTGTCGGAAGCATAAGTGGCGGTATTGTATTACTTCTGCTGACACTGCTTATGCTACAGAGACGGCAGCAAAAGAGAGAAGAGTGCATAAGCAAAGCCGTGGTGGTAGCAACATCTGTCCAAACAGAAGGAGGCACCAGTGACAGTATAAACAAAAGCTTCTCATGGGAGAGAGGAAGTGAAGAAGGATCAATGGGGACTCTTGTTTTCTTGGGGAGAGGTGAATCAGATATCATGGCGGTGAGATACAGCATGGATGATCTACTCAAAGCTTCAGCTGAAACTTTGGGAAGAGGAACGTTAGGGAGCACTTACAAGGCTGTGATGGAGTCTGGCTTCATTGTCACTGTTAAGAGGCTTAAGGATGCAGGGTTTACTAGAATGGAGGAGTTCAAGAGACACATTAAGATCCTTGGAAGGCTCAAGCACCCTAACTTAGTGCCTCTCAGAGCCTACTTCCAAGCCAGAGAAGAATGCTTGCTTGTCTATGATTACTTCCCCAATGGAAGTCTCTTCTCTCTTATCCATGGTATGTTTTGCACACACACTTCATTAGTTTTGGTTCTCAAGCTTGGTGTGTTTATATCTTGTGTCTTGTGTGTAGGAAGTAGAGTTTCTAGGAGTGGGAAGCCTCTTCACTGGACATCATGTCTGAAAATAGCTGAGGATTTAGCAATGGGTCTTGTCTACATTCATCAGAATCCCACCTTAACTCATGGGAACTTAAAATCCTCCAATGTTTTGTTAGGTCCTGACTTTGAGTCCTGCCTCACGGACTATGGTCTCAGAGATCTCCATGATCCCCACTCTGTTGAAGACACAAGTGCAGCCTCTCTCTTCTACAAAGCTCCTGAGTGCAGAGACTCACGCAAGGCCTCGACACAACAAGCTGATGTCTATAGCTTTGGAGTCCTCCTTCTAGAGCTTCTAACAGGTAAAGCTTCATTCCAGGACCTTGTTCATGAACACGGGTCTGATATCTCCAGATGGGTGCGTGCGGTGAGAGAGGCAGAGACTGAATCAAGCGAGGAGCTGAATTCTTCTGAGGAGAAACTTCAAGCTCTTTTGAGCATTGCAACAACATGCGTGGCTATTCAGCCTGAAAACCGGCCTGTGATGAGAGAGGTGTTGAAGATGGTGAAGGATGCAAGAGCAGAAGCAGTAGTGTTGTCATCTTTCAGCAGTGGCCAGTCACCAGGTAGATGGTCGGATACAGTACAGAGCTTGCCAAGGGAGGATCATATGAGCATATGATGAACGTTGTTGAGCGTTCTCTCCATTGTTTGATTGTTGAAGTTGCACTATAGGTTCATAGTGTAAGGATATTGTTGATGCCATTCTAACTATATCAAGGGATTAACCAGTGACTCGAAGATGAAATGCAAACCTGATTCGGTCTTTTTACTACCATAACAAAATAACAGCTGGTCTTACAACAAACCTATCAGAAAAATATATATTCTGTTGGATTTAAATTGCATGTATATTACACCTCTCTAAAGTGAAGACAGTGTAACTGTTCAGAAGTTCAAACATTAGACTCTTCCAACATAAACCATTATGACTGTAACACAATACTCTTCACACGTCTGGATCCGTAAACAAACATAAAACTAGAATGAAGGCTCTGAACAAGTAAAAGCCTGCACTGCATAATCCCCCAGAAGGATCAATCTGCCAACGGATTCTTGGAATCACGATTGAATTGCTTGAGGGTTTGTTTGATTATTTCTTGCAGCTGGAGAACAAAAAAGGAAGCCTGTCAGACAACCGTGCGACCACTCCAGAGAGGTAAGACCTAACTGGATAGCGATCCTCTACAGCACAGATACTCCAAAGAGCATCTTAGCCGTTAATCACACTCAGATCGCACGGCCATAGTTCATCAACCAGGATTAGGGGCCTGTCTCCTTAGAAATCAATGATACAGAGGTACGAGCCTATAGAACAGATCCTGTTCAAGTAAGGTCGTGACCTCTACCTTCATCTTAGCGCTATATAAACAGTACCGCTTGTCTGTAAACCAGCGATGTGGGAGAAATAAAAAACTTCGTCGTGTTTATACTTAAGACCCCATACGTCATCGTTTAGTTTATCACTTTATCTCAATGTATTTGCAAGCGTTTTTTTTCTTATCTCAATGGTTCTTCACTTCTTCTAGTTCCACTCATTGTTTGTGCGTCTTTGTTGTTAGGAATTTTTTTTTTTTTTTTTTTTGTATCAAACTTGTTATTAGGAATCTATGATCCCAAATTTATTCCATGTTCTTTCTTCTATTTAAATCAATGAAAATCCAAAAAGAAGAATGACTAATTTCCCTAAACAAATTAAGTCTTATTGTTGTTAGTCAATGAAACTATTCACTTGGGTTTATTATCTTACTAGAAGTTACGCACGGAGCGATTGTTAATTGTTTTTGCTATAGCTTGGATTGTCCTTATGTTAACCAGGTAATAAAGATATCGCAGAAAAACTCATTTTATATAAAATTCTGGTATAATTTATAATTTATAAACTTTTATGTCTAATAAATAATCAAATTAATCTCGATAACTAAAATATCATTTACAAAGTATTTATATTTATATATATATATATATATATATATATATATTTATTTATTTATATAGACCTTAATGTTCCAATTATATTTTTATGAGAAAAAATATTGCATATAATTGTGTCTTCATCCTCTTAAAGTTTTTCTTACAATTTTCACATGAGATTTAGCTCCAACCAATTCTTGAACAAATTAAGTAATTTTTGCATGAATTTTGTTTTCAAAAAATATTAAGAGATAATATTAAAATTATTAGTTTATACGATTTCTAAATTGGTAAAAACCAATTTTAATTTATATATACTTATTTACCTGCTTTATTTCGAGAGAAATAGTATTAATAAGATTGAATACACAATAAATATATGTTGACTTATGTTGATATATATATGACATTTTCGTTTATAATATCATCTTGAACTCCAGGGCAGTTCTTTAAAACAACAACACTTATTATATTAAACTAATATAATAATTAATAAAATAATAAAATTGATAAGTATATTTATTTTTTATGAATTTTTTTTTTTTGAATCAGCAAATAGTATTTTGAAATAGAGGTGATATTAAAGTATAAATAATTTAGAAATTTATCGGTTACTCAATCAAATTTTTGTAACTTAAGATAAGATACAAGAATAATAAAAGAGTTTTCTATGTTTATAAGTGTTTCTTCAAAGATTTTTTGAAAATTGTTTAACAGTAAATCTCTACATTTTCTAGTCTATTTATAATAGTTGTGATTTATTAGTGCCCACAAAGGTTGCAATGTTGATAACCAAACAATTGCAATGGTTGACAACCAAACATTGAAATGGTTACTACATAGTATAATGATTAAAACTAAAAGATGCAACGGAAATATTAACAATAATATATAAAAATGTTTGAACAAACAATAGTAATATATACAAGTTAACATTTAAAATATTTCTATAAGTTTTATAGTTAGATTGAAAATACATTTTAAAAATATTTTTCAATTTAAAAAACTAAATAAATAACACACACACACACACACACACACATATATATATATATATATATATATATATGAAAATATGATGAAAATGATGCGATCTCTTAAATATATTTTGGTTTAATATTAGTAAAGAGTATGAATAACTGTATACATATATATAGTAAATAATTATTTAAAGAAGTGATAACTCTTCAAAACATTTTTTGTAATGCTAAATCGTTAAAAACAGAAGATGAAATCACATTGTAAAAATTTCTCTAATAACAGTTTTTTTTTAATTTTTATTTTGCAGTTATAAAATCCACATGCAGTTGCTATTAAATGATTTCTGTAATTAAGCAAATAAATCATGGATCTATTTCCTAACATATTACAGTTAAATAAAGATTTAACAAAATAATCTATATATATAAAGGAGAACATACTCTCTTCTCATGAAGCCACCTCATCATTATCTAAAATTGTGACACATGTCATTTTTAGTTGCAAAATTAAAGCTTAACTAAACTCTCATGTTTCTTTGTTTCATGGACCATTATTCTAAATTCATGTCTGACCCATTTTTTTTTTAGAGTTACACACAGTTACCAACATAAAAAAAAGCTTATCTCTTGACATGAAGCGGTGGCCGGATAATTTCATAATAATATTTTAGCAACGTGATGACTCTGTGATAAATAAAATACGAGCTCCATGTTTTTTGTTGTATCATGCTTCATCCTATGTTACCAAAATATCTATAGTTATGTGTATTTTGATAACACCATATTTAATACCATTCTATAAAATATAATATAACTTGAGTTTAAAATATATTTTTGCGTTAAGTATCTACATTACAATACTCATTTTCAACACTCAAATATGCTACACTTTTAAAAATTAAAATATTTTATTTGTTGATAATATCCTTTTGACATTCATTATTTAGACTATAACACTCTTTTTAAACTTTCAATATATTACAGTTTTGAAATAAGGAAATATCTTTTTGTACATTGCAAAATTTTCAAGAATAGTATATTTTTTATTCCGAGGAAAACAATTAAAAAATATATTATACGCAATGAAAATAAAGTGTAGAAAGAAAATAATTAATAAACATAAAGAAAAAAACTATAATATAACATAATAGAAAACAATTAGAAGCTAAAAGGTAATTTTTATCTGTTTGAGGCGGATGTGACCAATTAAGATAGTAGTGCTTAACGAAGTAGTTGGATAAGAGATGATCAGATTTATCATTCCACTCGACAAACTGCTTAAAAAGTGAAAAAATAATAATATTATGTGGGTATTTATCAACATTTTAAGTTTTCAACAAAAAAAAATCAAAAGATATGCTGAAAAAAACATGCTAAAAATATAATAAGCATCGTTTCAAAAATATCACTATTACTCAAAATAGATAATATGTAAAAATATATAGTTGTTATAGGTAGAATTTGAAAAATATGTATAATTTTCATATTTTGTATTATAATTCTAAGTTTTTCCTGTAGTAAAAAAAATCAATCTTAAATACTGAAAATAGAGATTATTTTCAATTTAAAGTAAACTTATCATTTTAAAATATTCAATAAAATTGATAATATATTATATATTTTTTTTCAATTATTAACCCGCCCGTAGGGCGGGCCAAACCCTAGTATTTCATAAAATTTAAAATAAAATTTGTATATTAAGGAAAATTGAAGTACCCAGCCTCCGCGTCGTAGGGTTTCTGCCGTATCAGGTTTATGGGCCACTAGCGTCTTAGTGTTTCCGCTGGATCGGGCTTATGGGCCACATAATTAAATTTACGGATCAAAAAAAGACAGCCCATATTAGTCTGTGACGTGGTAAAAAAGAGCTTCCTATTGGACGATTTTTTATGCCAACTTGAATAGCTTCAAAGGGCTTTATATGCATCTTTTAATAGTGTTAGATTTATTACGATGATTTAGTCTATTGTTTTTAATTGTATTATACTACGGTGTTTGAGTGATTGTTATGTGCCTATGAATTTTTTCAATGATAAAAGATGTATTTTAGTTATTTAAAGTGCGGGTAAAAGCGTTTAATCTTATGCTTTATACTTGCATGTAGATCATTATGTTTATTGGTGTATTGATATTTATGTAAATAGGTGTAGGTAATATGTTAAACAATATTTAGTCCAAAGAATGTCTTAAACAATAAGTTAATCCCTTAGAAAACTTATTATTTTAAAATGGAAAGAGTGGGGCTAACAATTTCCCCAAGTAAAAACATATAATAAGGTTAGATTTGGGTGAATTTGCCCAAAATCTAAATAGAAGTGAGTAATTAGGAAACTACCTAAGGTATATTTATGTGGGGGGTTTAGATTGCAACTATTAGGGTGTAAATTACGTAGTTGTCCTTCTGTAGATTTAAACAAATTAGAAAATATGTTAGACACTAAAAGGGCTATAATGGGGAGGGGGAGGGGTTAGTATTCATTAATATAAGGTATTATCCTCTTCTTAGTTACGTGTGGCTTGGCTATGAAAAGTTTGACGAATGAGAGAGCTGGAAGGTTAGTATTCATTAATATATGTATTATCCCCTTCTTAGTTACGTGTGGCTTGGCTATGAAAATTTTGACGAATGAGACATAGGAGCAGCTGCATGGAAAGGAAAATCAAGACAAAAGACCTTATGAAAGCTTCAAGCTTTGGTGGCTCGCCGGTAAAAAACCATGCAATCTCGGTTTCGAGGACGGTGAGGAGGAACCAGAGACCGCGTGTTAGTCACAAGACCAAAGGTTTGTCACCAAGAAAGTGGATCTTGGTGTCAGTGGATGTGTTAAAAGGGATGGCAGTTCCCTCAGACATGAATTAGGGGAAGTTCATGGTG